GCACAGTCAAGAAAAGAGCAAAATGTGAGCACTTAAAGCTAATCAGGCGTTTGTAGCTCACAATGAATACACAGAAATACAGTGCAAAGGTGACTGGTGCAGTGTGGTGTCTGGATGGCCCCTAAAGGAGCTGCTATCTTCTTCCAGAGACAGAACATACTCTCTCATATCAATATTTTGCTTTTAAACCCCACTGACTTTAACTTTACCTTTAAATTTTATCTCTCTACAGGATTTTTCCATGCAAATTTCTATTGCTTTCTTCCTGGGAACTAATCTTCAGCTAAACTGCCCCTTTAATGCAGAATTTCAGCACTGGATATTCAAATGACTCAACAGAAATGTCCATATTGCTTAATTCTGCCCTGCAATCTTCCACCCACTCACAAATACAGCACGTTACCATCTGTGCACTGCTCTCATTGTGAACTTGTTGATTTTCCTGTTCTTTTTTTGGTGGAGATATGGCTTGGTGCAGGTGTTCAGGCTGGGGTTACAAAGACCCAGGTGACACATGGCAAACTCTGCGTGAGGCAGAAAACAGAAAATGCAATATTTTAGTTACAGCAAGGTTAAACAAAGCATATATCTGATGAGTTTGGCCTGGAAACATATTTTTGCCTCACCCAGCATAATTTCTCTTGGAAAACCAATGCTTTACAAAAGATTTTCAATGGACTTGGAGAAGTGGAGGGAAAAGGGCTCCTCTGCAGTTTCTTAACATTTGAAATCCATTCCTGAGTACTTTTATCCCTAATTAAAGGTCACCTACTGGTTTGTGAACAACTGTTAATGAAGAGTTTAATTATCCAGATGACAGCTATAAAATCCTACTCCTGTTCTTGAATATTTTAAAGCAACAACGCCCAGACTTTCAAATATGTGCTTGTAGCCAAGTACTCAGACAAAAGCTCTCAGGGAAGAAGAGTGTGTATGTGCAATTCCCATTTGCATACACCATGGGAGATTGCATATGCCCATATTAAAGATGCAAATCTGTGAGGAGGTTTGTGTGTGTTTGCTTGACCATTTGAACCAGACCTACCTTTCTTTTCTGTTCTTTCATTCAGGGAGGGGAGGGATGGTTAAATTATTCCTTGAGGATAAATCATTTCGCATTATTAACTCCTCTTAACAACAAGGCTGCATAAATTAAATGTAAGATTATCTGCTGTGTCCTCAGTGGAATGATTAGGAGGGAATCTACAGGAAAGAAATGTGGTCAAATGATTTGAAGACTTGCTAAATGGGATGCAAATCTCATCTTGAATTCTTAACAAGCTCAAACACAAGCCTGCCTTCTAATGAGCAAACTCTGCCTGGCATATCTGTGTAACCCCCAGAGCAAAGCTGTAAAGAAAATGGATCATGGTTCATTTTCTCTACCAAGTCAGGATTTTGTTTTTATTGGCACTTTTGACCAGGTGCTCCTGATGCTCCTATTACCTTTACCCATGGTGGCAATTTCTGTGATGCTGCTTTTAGTCTGCCAAGCTGAAGTGGCCCCATTTCTCATTTCCCACCACAACACCTGATGAATGTTTATTGGGGAGGTCAGGTTTGGGTTCTCCACAAGGTACATGCCTGAAGGGATGATATTTCTATCAAAAATATTAAAAAGTTGCTTTTTGTGTTCTCACTGCTTGTACAGTCTCTTTTTAGTCACTGTGGTGATGGCACCATAAGGGCAGACAGAGTCATAACTCTTTAACTCAGCCTTTTTGGGGGCTTGGTGAAGACTAAAGTGCAATGAATTGCCACAATGAATGGCAATTCTACCTGTAATAGACAAATTATCATTTTTTTCCTGTGAATCAGAGATAGGCTTTGATTCAGTTTCCTTGTTACCTTTGGTCTGTCTCTCCTACTCACATGAGCATATGTGCACACACAGTCATACTCTTATTTGTTTGAGCAAAATACCAAACAAAAGAGAATTACAAGCCCTGACTCTAAAAATGAGGGAAAAAAATTAGAATGCATCACATAAGAAGAGCTGTTCATATGAATTAAAGAGAAAAAACATGCCTGTCTGAGTTCTGTCAATGGTTAATATCTTATTTCCTAAGAAATATGGCTTAATACAAGAGATTTGTTAAAACAAAGACAGGTCAGTCCTCCTGTGTTATTTGCTGAAGAGGTTTCAAGCACACCTTTCTGTGCTTTGTTAACTCTCCAGGAGGGTTTTCTCTGCAGAGTCTCTCATCTGTAGGTCACAGTGACCTGACTGTGGGGGCTGCACTGCATAAATGGAACTCTCCAGATAAGCAGCAACATTTATTGCATACTTTGTCAACATATCTCTGGCCGCACACTTGTTCTCAAGGCACTCTGTTTTGATATTGGTTTTATTAAAACAGATTTCGGAAAGGGAAATGTAAAATATTTTAGAGATTGCAACATAAACATGTTGTTCAAGAGCTGAGGAAACCCACACCAAACACCAGCAGGCTTTTTTGTACATTACAAGCATGGACAAAATGTATCCTGAGGTATTTTTTTTTCTTATACTGCTTTCTTCAAATAAAAAATAATGATACAAAAAGACCAGTATCTCACACAGGAAAAGACACAGGTTGCACAATGTCCTTCACAATGTGGAAGATTTTTAAAATTAAAATCAAAAGAATAGCTAAAGCCAAGGAGATCTAAGGACTGGAAAAGGGAGAATTTTGTCTTGGTAACTGCAGAGTCAATCTCTCAGCTTTGGAGCTGCCACCAGAGCTCCTGAGCAGCATGTGTGGGCAGGATGACATGTTCTACACGGGCAAGGTGTCCAATTTTGCAGGCTTTACCTGCCCCTCAAGTATCAGCTCATGTGTCCTCTGGAGGAAAGCCCATGGGCCAGGTGGTTCAATCCCAGGCCCTGGTCTGACTCTGGGTACAAGACACATCCCTGCAAGGTCTCTTTTCAGGAATGTTAATTAGAGAAAAACATATTTAACTGTGTTCTGATTCTGCAAATGTCTGGGCAATGAGTTTGCATGAAGTATGGTCTGTATCAAGCTCATGTGCCTGATTTATCTATGAGAGGATTTACTAGACTGGCTTCTAGACTGCTGTGCTTGTGTTTTCCTGAGCTGCCAGGTCTCATTCCTGGTAAATGGACAGAGCTCAGCCAAAAAAAGTGTGACATGACATGCTGCAAGAATTTTGCATATTTATCATCAAAAGTGGGGTAGTGTTTGCCAAAGAACTTCCCTCAATTTTAGGCAAATAATAGAATCAGGACCCTTTAAAAAATATAACTAGATTATTTGTCATTTTGGAACATCATCATTCAGTCACTTCCATTGAGATGGGTTTAAATGGCTGCGCACCAGCGCACAGTATATGACATAAAGCATTTGTGAAAAAAAATTATTCCTCTGAGTAGTCAGATGTTCTTCCCAGAGATGAAGTGTCTTTTCCACTTTTCTCTTTCATTCTTTCTTTTCCTGGATCTTGGAGGGAGTGTTACTTGTGTTGAGTAATGAAATTTCCCCCGCCAAAACACACTGTCTTTGATCTCCCCTGTTTTATGCACTAGGGAGCTGATAGTTCCTTCCCTGGCTAGGACTGAATGAATAATCACCTCCTGTTGTTATTCACATAAGATTCAGATGCTGAAATGTGAAACTGATGACAGGGGAAATTATGGATAGAAGCATCAAGATTTGCTACTGAAATTTTATGAGCTGTAGGTAGGAAACATTTAAAGCACATCACATTTAACCATGGAGACTCCAAGCTTTTATAATTTCATGGGGCAGAACTGTGAGTTGTTTGTGAGATGGGAATGAAGCCCAGACTGCTCTCCTGGTGTTTTCTTTATGCCCACATATCCACACACAGACACATAATCAGCATGAGAAAACCCTACCCATCCATGAATTTTGTTGCAATTTGGAATGATGAACCATGCAAAAATTAGATATTCAAATCATGTAAAATGTCTGTACACTCATTGAGATATCAGTAAAAACCCCTGTAAAATCAGAAAATCTTGATTAAATTTTTTTTCTTTTTATCTTTTTCTTTTTTTTTTTTTTTTTTTTTTTTTTTTTTTTGGTTTGTTATTTCAACGTATGCAGCTTGTGATTTATTTCAGCTCTTCCAATCTGGACCAGGACATAATAATGTGTGCACAAAGGATTTTTTTTTAGAAGGGAAGGAGAAATCCTAAAAGGAGTATATAAAAAATTGGGATTTCACATGAACTTTTGTGCAGGGATTTAGAAGCCACATCCAGTGCCATTGTTCTTTGTGCAGTCCAGGCAGTATAATACACAAATGCTCTTGTATGGCAAACCTGACTCACAGGTCTTGGTGGAGCAGCCCATTGGCCCATGCTGGCATATCCAAGGCTCCCAGACATACAAGTGAATTCAACTTTAATTGTTGTGAAAACAACTTTAAAGAACACCCTTTTTATTATGAGGGGTTTCTCTTGCCCTTGCTCTTTCTTACCTTGAAAACAAAACCTAAACCAAACCAACTCTTTAATACAAACTCAGAAAAACCAGCTTTCTCTGAGCCTGCCAATCTAAAACAACACAAACACCACCCAAAGTGACACTTCTGTGCAGGGAAAGGCAGGTCCACACAGTGTGGAACTGCAAAGATCCAGCATAGCTGGAGATGCCTCCTGCCTCCCTGCTGTGCTCAACAGAAATGGAAACATCACAAGATATTCTCATTCCTAGCAAGCCTGTGCTGGAGGAGGGCTTAAATTGGCCTTCTGTCTCCTGTAACCCCAGGAGGTGTGATTAATGAAAAAAGCTAATTATCTGTATTGCTATAATACAATTCACAGAAAAAGAAACTAGTTCTACTTTTTTTTTTTTTTTTAAACTGTATATAACCACTACTTAATTCTCAATAAGCAACTAACAACTCCCTAGAATGAAGGGAATCTGCCCGCATGGTGGGAGATACCAGTTTGTGATCTCATTTATTTCTTGAGACAGTTCTACATGAACACTTCAGCACTTTGTTCTTCAAGAACTGATGAAGATGATATGTCATCTCTGATGGTTGTTCATTGAACAAAAAATAGGGAATTGGAAAGAATTTTCTTTTCATAAAAAACAAGTTTGCATGCTATGCTGAAGTCATTATTCAAATTCACATACTCGCAAGTGGGTAGCACACCGCCTCAGACACAAATCTATGCAAGCATTTCAGTTCAAGTGATTCAGGGGAACTAAAGAATAAATAGTGCCATCACCGTTTTTTGATGCAGGAGGGCAATGGCCATTTCTTGTGTGGAAAGTATGAGCAGACGAGGAGATCTCTGTTCTGTAAATCTGGGCTTGCATTTCACAGCAACCAAACTTGCTCAGGAGAATGAAGAAATCCCTGCGGAAAGTCTTGGTGAAAATGGCGTAGAGGAATGGGTTGGCGCAGGAGTTGATGGGGTAAAACAAAACCAGCAGGATCTTGGAGTTGGACACTGTGATGAGAGGAACCTTGAGCGAGGCCGATATGGCAAAGAAGGATATTGGTGCCATGCAGAGGAAGTCAGTGAAGATGAGTATGGCCATGCGCTTGGCGATCTTGGTGTCACTGTTGGAGGAGACGACGTTGGGGTTGCGCACGGTGAAGTAGATGCAGGTGTAGCAGACGCAGATGACCACGAACGCCAGCACGTTCAGCACCAGGAGGAACATAACATAAGCCTGGGCAAAGGGTGTCTCTATATCCATGGGCAGGCAGATGCTGACCTTCATGTAGCTGCTGACCCCAAATATGGGCAGGAGCGCTACCGTGAAGGCAAACACCCAGCCAAAAGCCATGACGGTGACGGCGTGGCGCAGGCGCACCTTGCGGTGCAGCTGCATGGCGTAGGTGATGGTGTGCCAGCGCTCCAGCGTGATCACCGTCAGCGTGTACACCGACAGCTCGCTGGCAAACACCGTGAAAAACCCCGCAGCGTTGCACCCTGCCCCGGTCTGCCAGTCTATGGCATAGTTGTAGTACTGGCTTTTGGTCTGGATGTCTACAGAGGCAATAAAGAGCAGGTAGATCCCTATGCAGAGGTCGGCAAAGGCAAGATTGCACATCAGAAAGCGAGGAACGGTGAGTTTGTATTGGCTGCTTATTAAAATTATGAGGACAACAGTGTTCCCAGTAATGGCTAAAATGTTGATGAACCATATCAGGACTCTCAGAATGTTGTATCCCATGATATCTTCACATGGGTTGAAAGCATCAGGTTTAGGAGAGCAGGCTACATTCACTACTTCATTGCATAAACCATAGTCGAATTCATTCTCTGCTGGGTCAAATCCTATGCCATAGTTGGAAATATAATCTTCAGCTGCAGACCTTCTCTGTAGTTTTTTGCTAGGCTTCTCCTCAAAGTCTTGCTTCACCTGAGATATGCTACATATCGGATGCAATTCAGTCCTGAAATTGTAAAAAGAGTAGAGTTGGAAGCTAAGAAACACAGTATGAGGCAAAAAACAAATACAAAATCCTCCATTTTCCATTAACAGCACAGTTTTTCTGGTTAGCTGATTATATAGATTACCCTGAAGCCTGAAATTAATAGTGCGGCTGGTCCCTATTTATAAAATACTACAAGAACATGTAAATGACTTGGAAACATCATAAACTGCACAGGAAAGGAAAAGCTAATGTTTGCCTAACACTCAGGATGCAGTTATCCACCTGGATAACACACTCTGTAAGAAACCTCCCTCATCAGAAATGAATTTCTCACCTAAGCTGTCACTGAGAAGCATGGGGGCAATGCATGACAATGAACACCGGTGTGAGACTGAGCTTTGAGGAATGAGTCAAGTCAGCTAGGAATTCTCAAATTCCCTCTTTTCTAAAGGTTTTGACCACCACCATCTTGTAACTCTGCCAGGGCACAAAACTCCATTTTGTGCTGTTCATTTTTAGTATCTCATATCATATTAGTGATTAGCCAGTAACACAAGTAAATAGCACCAATAAATTAATGCAGGATTCCAGATAATCTCTAGATGGCAGATGCCAACAGAAACACAAGGCACAGGAGACCATTTTGCTTAAAAACTGTTTTTTAAAATAAGTGGATTAGGAATCAAGTGAAGTGAAGCAAAATCAAACCAAACCAAACCAAACCAAACCAAATCAAACCAAACCAAAGCAAACCAAACCAAACCAAACCAAACTGAATGTTTTAATGTAAACAGTAGTTGCATTTGTTTCTGTCAGAAAGCATTTTTAAAACATTTTAAGATTTTTTAGTAACACAAGTAAATACTAGCATTTTTGATAGATTTGTGTTTGGGTTTATTTTGTAGAGTATTAACTCTGTGCCCTTCTCCATGCATAGACCTACAGAAGAAACAAATATTTTGGCTGATGATAGAAAGATGATCACCTCCAACAAGATCATAGATATCAAGAAACATGAAATGAACAACGAGTTTTTACAACAGCTCTTTGGCTGCCTTAGAATTTGGTTGTCCCATGAACTTGCATCCACAGTTTTGGATCTAATCTGAGTTATGGAATAAAATACTTGATGTTTTGTTGTAAAACCAATCCACTTCACCTCTGCCTACATTCAGCTACAAGCCAGACTGCAGTTTATATGTGTAATTTCTAGGACAGGTCCCCAGCTTATCTTCCACCCTGACTCTGAGTACAGTTGAGAGAAGAACTCTCTAGGCAAGTAAAGTTGAAATTTTTAACAACTGATAGCAGCCTAAAAGGGAGAATTCTTCTTTGTAACCTAATTTTACCTTTTGACTTTCTGCACTCACTACATCTCCTGAAAATTGAGTTTAAAGGGTCTGCAAGAAAGGAAAAATGAAGGTCACAGTAGCAATAACAAGGCATTACATTTTGCTCTCCTGTGTTCTATTCGCATAAGGATGAGTGAAGGGTCCAGAGTATTGATCAATATATCAACAGTTCTCTGGCTGAAAGGGAATAAAGGCTTCCAAGGAGCAATAACAGAGAAAAAGTCCTTCATTTTTAGTGCAACAGCCACTTGGGGGCACTGAAAGCTACAGCAATTGGTGGTTCTTTGAAAATGAACTGAGGGAAATGTTTGTAGCCCATCATTTCTCAGCAAAAGGCAAAAATAAACTTTTTCTAAAATTTTGCAGGCACTGCCTGGACCTAAATATATACCCAGGCAAGAGTGATTTGTAAGGACAATTAAATATTTCTAATGATTACAATTCATTAATTCTTGACTTATTTTTACAGCCTGTGTCCCAAATGAAAGCAGGATCCCAAGGAATAAGGTGTTTGCTCCAGGGAAGGGCAATGGGGAGTGTCCTGCTGGTTCCCTGTATTGGGAGCAGGCAAGATGAAACTCCCAGGGGAAGGAAGAGCCATCCTCTGATACTGACTCTTTGTCATATCTTTGCCCTCTGTTTCTCACCCTTTGGGCTCTGCAGTGCACTCAGAGCAAGTCAAAACATTATTTCCCAAGGGCTGTTTGGGTCCTTGCTTCCTATTGCCACCATGGGTGTCATTGTAGAGTTAATTCATTCCCTCTTTTTGTAAACTTTCCTTACTGTCTAACATTATTTTGCTCAAGTAAACTAGAAAAATAAACTGCAGAAAGGGCAGCCTAGAGAACAAAATTGAAATTGGCAGAGTGCTCTGACAAAAATAAACAAAAATTACTACCTTTGTACAAGTTGTTATTTAAGTTGTTATTTTATGCGCCTCGTCTGGATTTGCGGGCAGCAGGATCTTGTGTGCTGAGAAACATGCTCAGCAGAATAAATAGTCTTGACCTGTGCTCTGTAATAAGTCCTATCTCAAGCCAATCATCCTCACCAAAAAGTGTCATTAAGTGAGTTGTGAGCAACTGACAGTATGTTCTTGTGAGATGAGGCCCAAACACCATTCCTGATGCTGCCACATTTTTTGAAAAAGTAGGATTTCAAGTGACAGCTCCTCCAAAGAATAACGATCAAGTGTAAGGACAGAGTCATATCAATGCCATTCTTTTGGGCAGAAGGTGATCTTTATGTCAAGGAAAGCCAAAATCTTGCTGAAGTTCCTAATGGCCTATGTCAAGTTGAAGGTTTTAACATCCGGTCTCTGCTCTATCCATACCTCAAGGATATTATTTTCCAGTCACAAAAAAATATGAGGGGAGTTCAGCATACTGTACTGGACTTGTCTTAAGAATGCAGCTTACCTTTTCTTAGGCCAGCACCACATTATTCAAACTACAGATTAATATTTAGCACATAATCCTTATTGGAATGAGAAAAAAAATCAAAACTGTCTTATGTTTTAATTGTGTTTCTTAGACTGGCAGAACTGTGCTTGATGTGGCATCCTCCAAAACATAGAAAACACTGTTGCTGAACAGGTTTAAGGTTTCCATTATCACTACAGCACCTGTTTGCTGCTGCAGACAATTTTTGGAGAGGTGATTGAGCATGATCCACTATGGTACCTTATTTTATCTAGGGATTTGAGTGCTGCAAATGTCTCAAAAAGGTGAAATCAAACATGAATGGGCAGCCAGAAAGGGGCCACACATCCCTGTCTTAATTCCTTCCCAGAGTTCTCATGTGAACATCAGCTGCTGCTGTGATCCTTAAAAATGCACTTCTGGGGGTGATGAGGATGAGACATCCTTTTTGTACTCCCTGGACTGCCTGGAAGTATTTTGTGAGCCAAATGGCCACAGGGAATGTCCCTCTCCTGTGAAGGTGCGCGACAAGCCAGGTCACACCAGGGCTCCCACCACCACAAGCAATGCCTGCTGCTTTGAGCCAAGCACAGCTCTCACCAAAGGAATATTACACATTGTGTGATCAAGCACTATGCAAAGTATTAATAACTTCTAAACAGCCTGAGCAGCCTTCAGTGAACATGCAGCTTGTGCCAGCTGTCATGAAAACTGCTTTGAAATGAAAGAGGGTGTAGCTACTGTATGTGTGACTAATCTCTGCTGAAGTGTATGGTAATACTTTCAGTCTTCAAACCAAACACATGCATCCACTTTCTCTCTTTAATCTGGAGAGAGGATCACAGTTTCACACCAGTTTCACTACAAGAGACATGACCGTGTGAAAGAAGTGAAAATTTTTAATTATGTTAAAAAGAAGCTGACAGGAAGGGTTCATCTAGGTAATAGGTTCTCATAATTTTGCATTTATGCCTAATGTTTGGTAGAAAATACAAATGGTAATTGTTAAAGGCATGGATAAATATGCTCAATTTGGTTCTGCTGACCAGGGAGGTGGAGTTGTGACCAGACTTGCTCCAGAAGCAGCCCCACCATGGCGTGGTGCTCCAGCCCAGCCTTGAACATCCACACTGGGGCTATGTGAGCTCTTCACAGGTTTCTTGGCATTTCTTTGCAAAATTACACTTACCCAGGCTGTGCAAAGGGCTGTGTTGTGCTCTCCTTGCCTTCTTGCTAGCCAGAAAAAAGCTTCCAAAAGTGGGGCTGTACTAAGGGGTAGTGGGTGCTGAGGACTTCAATTTCATGTGCGAGTGTGTGGCATGGAAGTTTTTCAAAGCACAAGTGTGGGGACTAGATACTGAGAGCTTACCACAGGGTCAGGACTACTTCCTTCTGTAGCTTCCCTTCAATAGCAACTCCTTGTTTTTGAAAAGTCCAGTTGCCAAATTTAAGGGCTGTATTCTGGAATTTGGGTCCTGATTAGGCCCAAGCAGCCCAGAAGCCAAATACCTTTGAAAACATGAATCAGAGTGATATCAGTGTTCCTTTGCAGATCCAGAACTGAACATGCTTTCAATGGACTCATTGGAAAACAACACTTTGCCACCAGTTCTGGAAGGACTAGACCCATTTCTGCTCAGAAGTCACCAGACACTGTGTCTGCATAAGACTGCACAAGTGTGTGAAAACGTTGTCTGCTGATCAACTGTTCTAGTGAAAACTTAGCATTTTGGATCAAAAATGGGTGGTGGATTCTTTCAGATACTTCTGTCATCACTACAGTCTCCACCATCACACTTGTGCTCTTAACACAGTTTTATAAACACATGTAGATATTTATTAGTTATCAGCAAACTCAGTAATCTTCCCTTGTCTGGAGACAATACAATGCTAAAAGTAAAACAAAGGGCTATTAAAGGGTATTAAAAGAGAAGCTACTAACAGTTTATGCTTTCTCTGCATGGTTTTACTTTTCTTTGAAGTTTTATGCCCCTTCTGAAGATGTTGTCTTGAATTGTAACAATGGTTCATAATTTGTTTTCTCTCATGGTAAAGTCCAAACCTTTCAGGACATGAAGTGAAGGAAAAATTTCAAACAATACCAAGGGTTTTTGTAGGAACCAGTTCTTCATGTTTTCCAGTGGCACAGATTCAGGAGGTTCATTAACTACTAAACGTGAACGTTTCAAGACTGCATGACTGAGATGAAAATACTCAATGAGAATCACTGATACCTAAATCCTCACTGCAACTTGGTAATGGAAAATTAAAAACAGCATGTAAAATTGCTTTTGGAGCCTAAAAAGACACCTTAGCCTCCTACCCTGCTCTGTTGATTTGTGTGAAATGGATCTGCTCAGAAAACATGCCCCAAATTGCTGTGAATGTGAACTCAACAGAAAATGTATCTGTGATGCTTGGCTGGGCAGTGCTCCAACTTCAATGAGGCTTTCAGAAAGAAGAGTTTGGGATCACTCAGTGGTCCTGTTGCCCTCCTGGAGTGATGAACAAGTGTTGACCATCTTCTCTGCAAACACAGCCTTCCCTCCAGCTACCTTCTGAAAGAGTTATCAAATGTTTCCTGGTTAATATCTTCAGTGTGGCTCCAGGCTGGTCTCAGTGAAAGATGGATTTATGAGAGGTGAGGGCAGACTTGTGTCTGGGGAAGGTGCTGATGCTATCAAAATTTAATAATTCCCTGTGTGCACTGTGTGGCATGCATAAACCTGTACATATTGTGTATTCATTTATTTCCATCCATTTACTTACCTGCCTTGAAGAGACCTTTTCTATCCACATTTTGAGGAATTTTATTTAATTCACTATCAACTGCTGAAAAGCACCAGAAAGAAAAACAAATTAAATCACTTACTTTTGTCTTTTCCAGTTTGTAAATGCACAGCAATGGCTAGGATAGGTGAAGTTTGCCTCAATCAAAGATCTAAATTTGCTTAAGTCAGGAAGCTTTTTTAAATTGTATGTAGACCTTGCTCTTAGCTTCTTAATGAGTTCTAATCCATGACTTGGCAGGAAACTGATTTTCGTGCTGGAAATATCCCTTTAAGAAAACATATGAAAATCTTGGTAAAAAGCAAATTTACTGCTCAACAATGGATATGTGTTTTAGACTCATTCTCTGAGTAGTGACTGGAAACAGATCAGCTGGAAATCTACACTGAAAAGATGATCCAGTGCTAAATTGGGTGTTCCTCCAGCAAACTGAGGTAATATCCATTGCAAACAACAATCAAGTGGTGTTAGTCTGTGAGAACAAAAGAAAAAAAATCCCATAATGTTCTGGATGGAAATTAGCAGGCACGTAAACTATTACTGCAATATGATGCTGAGCTTAGTAAATACCCAGAATTGAAGCAATCATCCCATAATACTGTTAAAGGACAAAAATATGGCTGATGAAATCACAATAGAAGTTTGCTATACGAACATCACATCATGAGAAGGCTGCTGTGGAAAAGGCAATAAACACAAAGAGAGAAGCTCACATGTGGGTACAGGTTGGGGATATCAGATTTTGTACTTATTAGGAAGAAAAACATTAAAGAGAGACAGGGGTGGCATTGTTCAGGCTGTTAGGAACAAAAAAAACCCAACTAAACCTTCTTGGAGGTTTAGATAACAAATATAGCAGAGACTGAAGCAAAGGAGGGGGCACGACTGCAGGAGTAGGGAGGGATGTGTTTATGTGAAGGCAATTACTGTGGGACAGACTATCAGAGGCAGTGATGGAATCAGCAGCCATGAATGAACTAAAGGGAGCATTAGAGGGGCTTTTAAAAGGAAACATGTTCTGCATACACTTAATCTTGACTTGTGCAATGCAAGCGAAGAAAGGGAAGAAGGACCAAGGGTGCTCCATCTCCACGCTAAGAGAAAATCCATCCCCATAGTTCCAGACTGTAGCAGCTGGGGCGAAGCATCTCTGCAATTCCCTTACTGGGACACAAACCATGTCCCTCAGATCATGACAGCCTGACAGCAACTCCTTTCTCTGAAGAGCAAAGGTAAAAGTGAATTGCAAAAAATCACTCTTCGTCCTTTAAGCCCTGTGCTCTCACAGCCTGAGACTGATCCAGGATGCAGGGTTTGCTGAGGCTGCTCTGCTCCTTATTCTCCAAGAAAAGGTCAGATTTCTCCCTAATCAAGGAATTGGACTGACAATATTTCCAGTTTTCTCCATGTCCCCTCAAAGGTACAATTTCCAGTTCATCTTTGACAGTGTGATGTCAGGACATTTCATTTGATCTCTATCACCCAACACACACAAATTGTTTTTATTATTGCATTAATACAGGAGAGTGGTGCCATGTGAGGGGGAGACCAGGCTTTAGCAGCATGTAATAAAGTTTAGACTATGTACCATAAACACATTTGCACCTCTGTTCTCTGGTCTAGAAAGCAAAATCAATACCAGGAAAGGGCTCTGCTTGAGCACCAGCCAAGCCTAAGAAGTTCATAGGCAGATGATAAAGCAGTTTGTAAAATTGGTAAAGATATCTTTGTGTCCACAGTTGAGGCTTCACATCCAGGCTCTGCAGGAATGTGCCACCTTCAGCAGCTGGACAATGGGCTGTGGCAGCAGAGGACAAACACAAACCCCACTCCTCTGCCCCAGCTGGGACAGTGGCTTTTACAGAAGACAGACTGGTGTGTTCCTAAGTGCTGTGAACTTCTGCAGGGCAGGCTGAGAGAAGCCACACCTCTCACAGAAGAGGTCCTGAGGTCCTGGGCCTGTTTCTAGAGGAGCTAAACCTGGCAGCTGATGAGAAATTTTGGGCCATCGATTTCTACCTTGGACGCTTGAAGAGGCAATTAGGCTGCAATGAGCAGCCTCAATTTTCACTCTGATGCTGATGCTGCCCTCAGTGCTCTGCCTAATGAAAACTGTCACCAGACTGTGTGCTCATGAGTCAAAAACTAAACAGCAGGTTTCTGGTTAAATCCAGAGACAGCATCTCTCACGACATCATTAAGAGAATGTGTAACTTCTTAGTTCTGAACAAGAGCAGAGGAAAAAAAAATGTTTCCTTTGGCTTGTTAGATAAAAAGCATGACTGCATCCAAATTGGTTTTACACTGTGTGGAAATAAATATGAATAGGGATAGAGCTTAAAAATGTCTAAAAGTTTTCTGAATCTTTCATCATCTCTAAATAGTTTCAAAGATATTTAATAGTTTTCCCACAAAGACTTGTTACTTCTTACTGAAGAAACTTCTCTTTTTATGCTCATTATCACACATAAACAGATGTGAGTTAGGGAAAGTGCTTTGCATGCCCCTGTGGGTTTTTTTTTCAGTATGTCTGTGAGGGATAGCTATGGATACACCACTGAAAAGCCGCAAAAAGCAAACACAGACATTGTGCAGGTGCTTTAGTAAATTACTCCACTGAGTTACCACACACACCTCAGCACAGAGGTTCTTTGGGATGCTAGAGAACTCTAGTTAGAGGCTTGAAAAATTAAATAAGCCTGATGGACAAGATTATAAAGTGGCAGTAGGAAATCCAACCAGAAGGCATCAGCAATTGAAATACGTGTTCTTGTGTTATTGTTGCTTGGCTGTGAGTCATCAGCCTTGGCAGCAGCCGGTGCAGGAACAGCAAAATGAATCTGCCTTCTCCTCCAAACACTTCCCTTTCCCACTGGGAGTCTCTGTTGGATTAGCAGAAGTACTGACCAGCTGATGAGGTCTGAAAGACACCTACAGAAACAGCAAAAAATAGCTCCTGGAGCAGAAATCAGAGCAGGATAGGCAGACTGGGAGAACAATTTTCTTCGTGCTTGTATTTAAACTGATCACTGCTGCACTTCAGGGCTCAGCTGTGGAGCTGGGGATCTGCTGGAGCTCTCCTGCAGCATCCAAATGTGGGACTATCAATGAAGAAAAATTGCAAGGGTGAGATGGGGCACAGCCATGCCTTGCTCTGCATTGAGCCAGGACACAGCCAGAGAACCAAGGACACCAGCAGAGGCTGGTACAAGCCACTACAGCTCTGAGAGGAGCTGCAGACCATTAAATGAAACAGTGCAACTGAAAATTGAAGCTATGAAACTCAAAGTTGGAAAGAGAGTGTATATCTGTATAGAAGGAATATGTATAGTTGTGGGATTTATTAGCTATTTGATTTACTGGCTTACTGTCAATGCTGAAATGCTTTAACTCAAAATTTGATGTCTTTCCCAAAGAGAGATTCTAATTCAGCCAAGAGCTGTAAGTCTGAGAGAGGAATTAATTTGTGAAACTCTGTATCCTGCACAAGGCCCATGATTGGTGCTGTCTATTTGTGTTTCTTTCACATTACTTTAATATGATGGATTATAAAATAGAAGTTGGCAGTAATTGACTCCTTAACACTGGTCCAGGAAGATCAGGAGTTAAACCACCTTGATATTCATTCTATTAGAACACTGCAGTCTGCAACATGGATTTGATTGCAGCAACAGCAAAAATATGATTTGTCCCAGCAAAGATATGATTATGGGTCAATCATTTCCACAAGTGAAAGCACATCCCTGGTGATGGATGAGTAAGAAGGCTCTTCTCTCATGATCTCAGCCAGGATAAAAAGGTAATTTCCCATCCACGGAATAGTGGATGCATTGGTAATGGAACAGAAAACTTTTTACACAAATAACTCAGTGTTAGAAATTGAACTATCAAATGAATCTCAACTACAGACAAATCAATTTGATAAACCTCCAGAATATGATTGTATCAAGTATAGCCTGCAAAGGAAATGCACTTATTTTTTGCTACAGGAAACAATGATTTCCCAAAGAAACACCTCAGATTTTACTGATTCAGAGAGGCTCCAGTGTCAGTCTTTTCCAAGAAAAAGAAGATGCTTTGAAGAAACAATGGAAGTGCAGCAGAATGCAGTGAGCCCAGGTCTTTATGTCATAGCTGCACTGACCATCACACAGTGGAAAATGAGGCCTTCAGATGAACTCCGGACTCAATTGAAGGTTAATAATTTTTTCTCTCTCCTCTTCAGATGTGTAACCACTCTAGCATCTGTGCAAAATCTTCCAACAGCTCCAATGACCCCTCTCACTTATTTGGGGTGACTTTTAGCCCTTTCTGGACAACCAGGGTAGATGCAAAGAGAGAAAGGCTCCAATGAATCAGTGAGATGAAAAAAGAACCTCACATCTCTCTTGCAGCCCTTACGTGTGGTGGCTTGTGCTCAGAAACACAGGCAGCTGTGCAAACTCATATATTTTTGGAGGCTGTGGCAAACTATGGCTTGAAGTAATGGTAATGGTGGCTGAGATCCATGAGCATCCTACTGCTGAATTTTCCACTGCTGAGTTCTCAATTCTCAGCTCATCACCCACCAAGGACATCCTGCTGGAACTGTGTGGGATGTATTTCATACCTATCCCAATCCCCATCCCTGTAGGATGGGAATTTCGCTTCAGAATCAAGCTGCACAGATGCAGGGGCAGATTTTCAGTGGCAAGTAATTCAGATTTCAGCATTAGAACCACTCAGCCAGTCTTGATTTTGCTCAAATAGAAAACCAAAAGCTTTTTTTTTTTTTTTTTAGCAGAAAAAACAAAGCAGAATGACTCCTCTCTTGCACAGTTTAATTAACTGTGGAGACAAACCTGGATCTAAATCTCTCACCTTCAATACTCTCAAAAACTTGAGGACAAAGTGAAAATAAAGTTCTAGACTGAAATTTCAGTTGTGGCTTCCTTTTTTTTTTTAAATTCAGAGCTAGACCTCTGGTCTTGACCTCCAAGGTTTGCAAGATGCTGAAATCCAGACTGGCATTCATATGTTCTTTGACCTTTTCTAAGGAGTCAGTAATGAGAAAAATGTTATCCAACTGCTACTTACAAAACAACAGGTCCATTGGCTCCCTGGAAGACCTCATTTGGCAATTTTTCTAGGTTGTGATTATCACTTAGATTTCTGAAAAACACAATATTTTAGGCTGAAACAATCTGAGACTAAAAAAAAAATATATCTTGCAGAAGTTAGTATCTTCATTTTTCAGAATTGCAAACAACAGAAATAGTTACAGCTCATCCAGGTATGTTCCATTAAATGCATGATCCTCAATGTCCTGAATTCCATTTTTATTGAGCCATCTGCAACAGAGAAACGGCAAAGAGAGTTGTGTTCTTATTTATGCTTCATGACTAAAATGTATGCAATTCAAAACAGGGAATCTCAAACAAACAAAATTGGTAAATGGACATTGAAATGGTGAAATTTCTACAAATCCCAGCTTGCAAGACCCCAACAGTGGAGGCAGGCTTTGGAGGGGGCAGACACGAATAGGGTGGATGAGGGCAACCATGAGAGATGGCAGCTGGAGTAAGTTCCAGAGTAAGGTCAGAGCTGGTGAAGATGCTGGTGCTGCTCATGGCTCCACTGGGAAGGCAGCAGAGGAGCCAGGAAGACCAGAATCTTTCCTGTTGGTGCTGTCAGTGCCACTCACTTTTACTCTTATCAAGATGCTTTTGAAATGCTGTGCCACAGCCTCACCTTTGCCAGTTATTAGGGAAAAAAGCCTGCTGTGTGCCGTGGGCAGCCAGGAGGGGGGCTGATGGTCACTGAGCCAGGCAGGAGGGCACAGGGGCAGCCAAACTGCCCAGGCAGCAGGTGATTCCTCCTACACTGCTGCCTTGACAGATTACACCCCCTGTCTGCCCTGCTGCCCAGCCCTCCCTCCCCAGGCTCCTTTCCCCAGGGGGAGGCCACAGGTAGTGAACCTGGCTATTGGAGCTCCTGGGGCTCTCTGCCAAGTTTTTACTCTGGTGCATTAGCTAATTAACGTTTAATGACCTTCCCTCTGTCCCTTCACGGTGCTAAAAATTTACATTGAGGTCAGTTCTATTTATCATCTTTACGGTGCAATCTTTCATCTCGCCTTAAACGTCACCGCACAGCTCACGCCCTCTCCAGCAGGCAGTGACAGGGCTGATTGATGGCAGAAATGGCCTGATTTAATTAAACTGTCAGCCAACCCGGACTCTTTTCTAATTCACTTTGAAAGCTGAGCATACAAGTGACCCACTTATCTGAGGTCTGAGGTGGTGAGCTAAGGTCAGCACGGAAATCAGTCATGGGTCTGGCTGAAAGGATTGCTCCTTTGACCATGACAGGCAGATGCACATGGCTCTGTGTCTATAATGTCTGTCAGGATGGATCAGGAGAGCTGTCACCGTCCCCTTCACTTGCCAGCACCATTAGACATGAGTGAGCAGGCACGGAGGAGAGACAGGTCCCTGCTTACAGCATTTGAAACATTTATTGTATTACATTGATCTTATAAATTTGTAGCTGCCAGGCTGATAGATACGTTTTTAATCACACTATTAGCACTTGCTGCATTCTCTCACTGAACATGATGTTAATGCAGTGAGATACTAAGGTTGTAAAACAGCCACTGTAGCCACACAGTGTGGACTATATACTCCTGTCACCTGGCCAATAGCATCTGAGTAGTAAAAAGAGCAAAAAAAATATTACTCAAATCCTGAGACCTCATTATAGCACACATAGATGAATTCTTATTGAGGTGTATTCTCCCCTCACTTCAACCAGCACACTTACTGACTCCACTAACTCTTATGTTAGCAAGGTGACAATGGAGGAGAGATCAGAGCTTGCACATGGGGGCTTTTCCTTATCATTTCATGGCCAGGGCAGATTTTTAAAACTCTAAAATTCACCCAGTGCAAGACGTCACTGTCCCTGAGGAACAGGAATTTACACTCTATTTCAGGACTGGAAAGGCTCTATCTCGGAGCTTAAGTAGCATGCAGACCTGGGAACAAAGTGGATTTCTTCCACAAATTTCTAGCACTTCATCACCAAATGTCTCCTCAGCTCCCACCTGTGCTGATCCCATGCATAGCATAAGATTAAATCCAAATTACTGGTGAAAATATGCTTGGAGCCTTCCATAGCTAAGCCTGTTAAAATGGTTTCTCCCTAGAATGTGGGGGTTCAGTGGGTCCTGGATTATTTCAATCATCTTGATATGCCTGCTTGCACTAAATGACGTTGCTGTGACTCTGTTGAGTTGCTGGGATTTAAGTTTTGTATAGAAAAATGGCATATTTGTGCCTAAAATGAACTAAATTCACCACAGCACAGGGAAAGCCTAATCAGGGGCTCAAAGTGTGCATGCAGGGCCTCTGTCCCACATTGGTCTGGGGAGAACTAGAGTAAAGTTAGGACACTGTCTGATCAGGGTGCTGGAGGCCAGGTCTGCTCACACAGCTCTTGCTGCTCCTGCACACAGTGGTGGGTGTGGGGAGCCTGTGACAATCACAGAATCACAGAAAATTTGGGCTGGAAGGGACCTTAAAGATCCCCCAGTTCCAAACCCCCTGCCATGGACAGCAACACCTTCCATAGACCAGCCTGCAGAAATCTCCATCCAGCCTGGCCTTTTGTACTTCCAGGGATGGGGCATCCACATCTTCTCTGGGCAACCTGGTAAAGAATTTCTTCCTGATAGAAGCAATGAAACATTTTGGGGAGAAAGGGGAAAGCCAACCTCAAGCTGCTCAAGTGGCACAGAGAGATCAAAACACAGCAAAACTCTGGGATATTTATCTTACCCTCCAGTGGGTATCATGAAAACAAACATAGAATTTGTTGTGCAGTGCTTTGGAAGTATTTACTTGGAAAAAGCCTGTGTGTATATGTGTGTGTGTGTTTAAAACTTCAGAAAAGTTTAGAGGGTTTGTGCATAACTGATAGGGAAAAGGGAGAGGTAAAGCTTAATGACTTCTCTTCATTATTGATGGTCTGACCTTGCTCCCCCAGAATCGACGTGAGCTCAGTCAATTCAAACCTCGCTTTTCTCTCTCAGTGTGCCAGGTAAACCACATGGTGGGAATTTTTTCCAGTCTGGCCACTGGCTAAGTGAAAGGAAGGCAGCTTGTTAGCAAGCAAACACTATGTTTTGATATATAGAGAGAAAGGATCAAAGAAGCCAGCTAGTTCATTAAAATACATGACTGCTCAAATCAAATGTAGGGCCAGCTAACCACGCAGCTCCAAACTGCATTGACAACCCACTTGTACCAATGCATTAACGTTGTGTACACAGAAACCACATTTCCACAACATCTTCACACATTCTGCCCAAGTAATAAATGTCTTTGAGTGATGTGTCTGACTGTAAATATTTATGAGTCGTGCCATCCTTTTGAACACAATTTGTATCGCAGGGAACTGTAGCTGTAGGTGTTTAACCTTGGCATTGGTAATTACTAAATTCACTCTCTGATGTGCTTCTAAAATAAAGAGCAGGAATAGAACGCAACAACAACAACAACAACAACAACAACAACAACAACAAAAAACAAACCAAAAACCCCCCAAAAGTATTCATTTGTTTCATGGCAGAGAAACAGCTTACAGAGATCTCAGGGGCAAGGAGAGATGTAAAATCTCAAATTGAATTTGGAAGTGTATGAAAAAGTGCCCAACTCCTGCTATCCTTGACCCTGTTCTGGAAAAGAAATGAGCTAACAAGGAGAATAATGAGTTTGCTATGTCTACTCACAGAATCACACTTTCAGAACTCAGGCCCATGAATGAATTTCTTTCAATTGTACGTATATTGATATTGTCTTGAATATCTCTGAAAAATAAAATACAATAGAAACTACACCTTTTTGTACTTCTGTGAGCCTTTCAATACAATATGCTGCTTCAAACACAGTATTTTCCCCTTATATTCAATCTGAGGAAGTACTGCAGACAGAGGGTAATAACCAAAATTTCCGAGACATTTTTCTCCCGCAGAGCACAAACCTTCCTGATAAAAAAGTCTGGAGCAAAACATTTCCAACACCCCCATACCTTCCTCCCAAATAGGCTGAAGACATTAAAATGCATATAAGCTCAGGTCTATAACCCTGAGGTGGATGAAATAGCTCCTCCAGCAAACATACTCCCCAGAAAATGCAATGAGAGGGGGCTGCGAGCCACCCCTTCTCCCAGCCTCCCTACAGAAGGAGGAAAGCCATTAGCCTTTCTGGCCTGATCCAGCAGGGAACCTACCAGCCCATGAATCATTCCCCAGCTGATGTCAACAGGGCTGCTTATAAGCTTTGTATGTGCTTAAGAACTTAAATGCAGGACCCCTGTCAGTGCAATTTGTTGAATGGACAAATAAGAATTTCTGTCTTTCCTCAGTTGTGGCTGATACAAAAAAAGGAATGTTCTGTTGCTGGCTCAATATAGGCCTCAAAGAAGTTAAATAATGTTACTCATAATTTAGACTGGGGATATTGCTGTTTCCATGCTGTTTCTGTTGGAAAGCACAGAACAAAATTAATTATCTGCAAAGCTTGAAATTAAGTGCAAAAATTATCTCATGCTGACAGCTCCATGCAGCCACAACTCTGCACAGAGTGATACTTAGACAGAGGCTTCATTCAGCAAACTGAGGGCAGCAGGGGCAGGAATAGGGAGGGAACACAGCACCCATGTGAGTGAACTGTGTGTATCCCTCTACTAAAGCTCTGCCCTTTATAAATTTCAAGATCAGTCTTTGAGACTTAAATATTGGCACAGCTGAAGCCAAGGGGAATTCTTTTATTGACCACAGAAGGTCCAAGGTTTGAACTGAGGTCTAGTTTGGGACTCAATCAGTATCAAGGTCTGTTTATTCTTACAGGAAAGTGAGGAGTTGCATCTAAAAAAATTAAAAGCTCTTGCTGGTACAGGACGCAATAATTCCTGTCTAGTTAAGACTGATGATAAACACAAAGATGTACAGGTGAAATTCCCTGTTGTGCCATAGCTGTTGCATTTCCTTGATGGTTTTGAGGAGCAATGAACTGAAGTTCTCAGAATTAAGAACTTCAAATATATTCCTGAAATGGATTTCTTATCTTATATGTCTGTACACTATATTCAGTCATCTCCTCTATGTTTTATATGCATTTTTATTGATATTAATGGATATTACTAAAATAGCCATTAATAATTGCAGGATTAATGCTTCTGCAGGTTGAAATATTCTAATCAAACATCTGAGGATGCAGAACTTTGTATGTGAATTAGCAATAAATCTTTTCCAAATGTTTTCAGTTAAACTAAGAACCAACAGAAATGTATGTCAAAATATTTTTCAGTGAAAAAGAAACCAAGTTTTTCTGACATGCATTTTTTCTGCAGAAGAAGTGCTTTAGGAAATTAACAGCCTATTTGCACACAGAACTTTGCACAAATATTTTTTTCCTCGTTGGCACTGGAGTTTTCCATTGTAAAAATTTTTAATTTTCTGGGCATTTTTACTGACAGAGGAAAATGGAAAAGGGTATGGTAGATAACCCCCTGAGTTTGGGTTTTGGTGTGGTTTGCTGCTGTTGTTATTTTTCTTTTCTTTGTGCTATGGCCACTTCTGATACAACTCAGCTCTGAGATCAGCGACTCTTCCCATGCAGGTCAGAAAATTTTCACCAGGCGACAACAAATTTCCACTGCCACCATCCTGGTTTGGATTTCAACTTCTGAAAGAGGAGTCAAAGGCTGTTATCTGTCCCCTGGGCCACTCAGACACTGCAGTTCAAGGAAGAGTGGTCTGTAAAGTCAAAGTTCCAATGCTTTGTAGAAGGGAGATATGGAGAGAACTGAGACCTCCTGACCATCGGTGCCTGCAAAATCACAATCAGCACGCCACTGCAGAGCTAATAAATGAACACATGGGGAATCATGTTTAGAGAGGTTTTGCTGGAGGAGAAGAACAGTCAAAGGCAGCTTTCAAAAAGTGAAAGGCAAACGTTCAAACTTACAGCAAAACTTTCTGGAAAGAGTGAACCTTGTGGACAGCAGGTAAAAACCGAAGGCCAGTGTTTGATATTAACCTAAGGGGAAGAGAAGATGAAGATTATTCAGTCTGCCCCTGGAAAGAAGGCAGCAGTCAATGAAGAAGAAAGAATATTGGACTGAAAATGGTTGTCACAAAAGGCAGAGTTTAGCCACAAAAGTGGGGTTTCCCTGTAGGAAACTTGACATTGTAATTTAAAAAGGTTTTTGTCCGAAGTGCAAGCTGAATTCTGCCGACAGATGTAAAGGGAGAAACCCTACCTTTGATGATAACACAGTCCCTCCTGATGATCTCAGTAAATTGTCCATATTAATTTCCCAACAATACTCTAAGAAATTAACTGCACTGACACAGGATAAATATTTTCATGGTAGATGTTTTAAGACAAAAGTATCGACTCACCACAATTTTAACCTTCTACTATAACAGAGGGCACATTAATTCCAAGGGAAATTAATTGATGAAATTAGGAGAGAATTAGGATATTTTGCTCCCCAGCAGCTTTGATAGTGAGGAGCCAAAACCACGGGAGCATTTCAGCAGTTTGTGCAGCTGGAAATGAACCCAAGCCTCTGTCCTTAGACACCTCCACCCTCCCTCTGCACTGACCACCACTGGCCTCTGCACTGTGGCTCCTGTCCCTGAAACACCACCCCAGAGATGCTGGTTCGGAAGGACAACCCTGTGATCACTGCCACTGAGCTCACAGGTATCCAGAGAGATGGACCACATCTAATTTAGTCAAATTTTGCTATCCAGAGCAGTGGCAAGGTCAGGAAAAATGTGATGTTGCCATGACTGGTGGCTGCTGGTGGCTGGGAGGAGGGCTCAATGTGGAGGGAGGAGTTGGACTGGACTGGCCTCTGGACATTTGGGAGCCTTTCCCAGATGCCAAAAAGTCTCATGTTTACCCCACCAAACAAAGAGAAAATATGGATTCTTGAAAGTTTGATTACATCTTTGTGTTTTTAATATATGAGACGGTAAAGAAGGTAACATTTCACTGAGAATATTGGTTTCTTAAAGAACACAGGATATGTAAGTTTTTTTTTTTTTTTTTTTTTTTTTTTTTTTTTTTTTTATCCTGGCACTTAGAACAACATTATTTTATTACTAGATCAGAACTTTTTCCTTTTATTTATTTATTTTTTAAACAGAATCATCCCTGAATAGCTGAATTGTGATCAAAATACTGGTTGAGACTGGAAAAAGGAACATTGTTCATATGATGTTTTTTTATTAATCCAGATTATTTCAGGAGAGTTGCAGTCTTTCAGGTTTCATAATTTGAACTGAAATGGAACGCTTCCATGTGACAACCAAATCCTACATTTGGGAACTCAGGGTGACACATAAGTTCATGAAAAAGTCATTCACTTGCATAAGTACTGCTCTGAGCTCCCTGAGATGGTATCTGGGTATCCTCAGATGCTGAAAAGCCAACTTTGATCTGTCTCATCTTGTAACAGAAAGCAATAGTTCATATGCAGGGAAAAATTAAAGTAGTATTAGTGAATATTCAAGAAGTCAATTTGGGAAAGTTGCTAAAATGTCAAGACTGTTTCGTCTCAGGGTTCAGAGTGGTCTGACATTGCATTAACTTAAAAATAACAGCTGCCACATGTGACCAAGAAAGCTCCACAAAAATGCCTGTGAAAAACTATTATATATAGTTAAATAGAAAGCATGGTTAACGAAGCAGGTGAATTATACAAGACCCTTGTTGCTTAAAACATTTCTGCACTTACACTTCATAAAAGGACTTCACCCAAAAAATTAGAAGCAATAGAAGAACCTGTAACTCCCCCTTACAATATTTAAAAATACACATTCTAAATTACTGGAGATATACAGGGTTTTAGTGGAAAGCTGCCTTTCATTTTAAATGAGTCATATGCTAAAAATCGGCGCAATCCTATTTTACAAGCCCCTTTTAAACACAAATTGTGGCATACATTTCCCCTAGCAGGAAAATGAAGGAGGGGACTGCTGCCAAGCAGTGTGTGGCTACTGCAGGGCAGAGAAGACATAAGGAGCTTTTCTTTCTACAGTCCTTCCCCAAGTAAATCTCAATCCTCATGGTGCAGCAATGAAAGGTGACAGGGCTCTAGCATCTGCTATTCAAACCCTGCTCCAAAGGGCAACTTAATCCCAGCATAGCAAAATTCCACATTGGCTCTCAGGGCTTTCACCCTACATGGGAGAAAAACCATCCCCAATGCCTTGGGTTAGTTCTGATCTTTCCAGTAATTCCAAAGTGTTCAGGGCTCAGTTTTCACTGGTGTCAACTGAGCAGCATGAGATGAAGAGGGAAGAATCTCTGACAAATCATTACATATTGAAGTAAATCTACAGGTGGTACAAGGCACTGATTGCACAGAGGCACAGAATGGTGATTAGGAGCAGGAGAGGATGTTCTTTTAATTAAAAGCAGAAAAAAGAACTGAAAAAATATTTAGCTAGACTGCAGCCTAGATCTTCCCTCTCTTTTTATTCCAGCAGCAAATCTCCAAAGGCCTTAAAGTGGATAATCTCTTTAGAATGTAGATAATCCAATTTACTGAATATCTTTCCTGCAGGACAGCTTTGTCAATATATTTACCATACAATGTATACATCCTTAGTAACCTCACTTTAAACAAGTGTCCTCTTTAATCTGTGTTATAACTGAGTCCCCCCTTGCCATGCATAAACAGCTTGGTGCGAATATTTTTTTTTTTTCAGATTACTGTTTTTTTGATGGCTGCTTTCCAAGGTATTAATTGTCTTTCTGAAAAGGCTTACTAGAGTCAATACTTAAGCAAACAGAGCACCACAATCAGCAGAGAAAAAAAAATATATTTCAGAAACTAATTCCTGGAAGATTCTGTCTGCTTATCTCCAGATAAGCAATTTGTCTGGGGTTTTTTTTGTGCCAAATTGTAGGAGCTATTCTGGCCAATCTGGGAACACAGTTCACCTCATCAATTTACTGTGGGTATTTTCTAAATTGCAAACTCAAGATAGGCAGAGATAAACACAGCTTCACTCAGGAAGCATTATTTTTGGGTCCCTTAGTCACACTGGTCACTTGATGGTGCTTGTGAGCCTGGTTGCAGCAGGACATCCCTCTGATTCAGGTATCCCTAAATCTGCAGCCCCCACTCCTGGGGGAAGGTTTTTACAGTGAGGCCAAAGGAAGGAGTGGAGCATCACTTCATTTTATTGAAGAGTCAACTCCAAGAAAAGGGTCAGGAGTTCTGTGGGGTTTGCTGCACCTGCACCAAATGCAGATTTGTGTTTAGGAAGCACCAGACAGGCACAAGTTGCTGAAAGACTTTGGAGTTGGGGTCTGCTCAAAATCCAGTTGTAGGTCTGGGCAAAACCTACAATTTTGGGACCTACATTTTCCCTCCTCTCCAAGAATTCAGCTGTATGCCCTCAAAAATAACCTGAAAGGACTGTTACATTCAAATCTTTGTATTGTAAGCTGAGATTGCTTCATACAGGACATGGACACCCCTCAAAAAGGAATCAAAGGACATAGATCACATATGAGAACTAATTTTGGAAAGAAAATGAGTTTGAAAAGCCATCACTACATTATTAAGGAGACTATGGCACAGGTCTCCCTAATGAGAGCCAGATAAATAATCTTGTACCCATGAAAAGGTCAGTAAGTTACCATTTTGAAGCAGCCTGTCTCTCTGGCATATACCCAGGAAAACCAATTAGCAATTCTCTTCACTGCTTTCTAAAAGACTGGTGAGAAAGTTAAAGTTGCCTGTTTCTGGAAGGTTTAGGCTGTTCAGCTCTGTGTTTTTTCAGCATTTTCCTCTCCTTTGTGTTTTTGCCATACTGGTAATGATGATGCAGGAGACAAAGGGAGTGCCAAAGGGGCTGGGAGGAAATGCATTTGTCTCCAAGCTGACAGAGATAAAAGCATATTAATATTCAACAGCTGGTGGCCATAATGAGCCCATGAAACCGATGAGGGGACTGACAAGGCTAGCTAGAGCTTCTTGCCTGCCCATAAACATGACCCAGTGGCTTTACAACTATTTTTGTAGAAACACAGAGAAAGCCTTGCAAACAATGTGTTGAAAAGGTCATTAAACTAATGGGTTGTAGTACCTGGGCTCAATTTTGGACATTGAGACTCATTATTTATTTTTTTTCCTCTGTGTTTTCTGAACTAAAAGCACCAGTAAATATAATTTTTTTTCTGGAAGTTTTTCTGCATTGTGTTTTAACAGTTTTGCTACAGCCCCAGAACTGTGTAATGAATCAGAGCATGTATCTTGTACCCTGCCAGACTGTCCCCATAGGTGGGGGCTTCAGAAGAACCACAATGATCCAAGGATGGGCAGGTACCCAAGTCCTTTTGAGATGCTGGTTGCAGCTTGGTCACTCTGTACCTCCTTACACAGTCAGACATTATCACCTAATCTGTTATGTGAAAAGATATTGACAAAACCGTGTGCTATTCCTTCCTAACTTACAGCAATTAATGCGAAAATTAGGCAGTGATGTACAGGTTTACAAGTTTCCAGGTTTTCCAAGTTTCCAGGTTTTACAAGTTTCCTTTCATGGCCTTAAAATTTTTATCATTTCTGCAATAGCTGCTCCACACACATGCTTTACTCTTTTATGAATTACTTTAAACTATAGTCCCACATGTTTACAACCTTTTGCTTGTGTCTTGTATAAAAAACCCTGAACAACCACCACAAAACAGAACTGAAAAACCATTAAGTAATGGTTTTTCCTCTACACCTTACCTTATATTTTCAATACTGCCTCTTCCCTGCATGTCACAGGAAGGTGAATATGAGGACTGGGTTACCTTTATTAGGTGGTGTTTGACACCCTTCCATCAAGGTTTCTGTTTTCTCATTAAATTAACTATCCTACCCTTTCAAACAGCAAAGCTTTCTGCCTATTCAGTTTCCAAAAGGGCAAGCACCAGTCAGTGAAGGCAGGGCATGGAGAAAATGACATCTTTGCTCCAGAAATGCAGGGGAGAACACAAAGAGAGGTGATCTGACCATGTTGATTTGATCATGATGTTACTCAACACCACGCCCGGCACACTGGATGCACAAAGTCCCCAACAAGAACTTTGTGTCCTGCTCCCAGTCCCTGTGTTGGGAAATGCTGTGGCTCCAACAATATTGCACAGATTTATACCCCCAGCACACCTTCCTCAACCCCTGTTTTTAGAACAAACCCCACATTCATCTGTTCAGAAGCTCCCAGCCATGGAACCTGCACCCTTTGAGCTCTCTATAGTCATGCAGGGCTGGGGGGTTTTACCTCCTAAAATGAAGGCACAGAGGGGATGCAGCATGAATCCATTAGTGGAGTAAGCACCAAAAACGGATTTTATAAACATAAATCAGAGAAAAGCTTTGGCACAAGAATGAACATGGATTAAGGGGCTGTGAATAAACTAGAGGAAATCTTCTAATTACCAAATCATTAAGGTTCTAGAAAAGCCTCTCCTGGAAAATAGAGGAAAGCAGGCAACAGTGAAGGGCATCAGGAATTTCAATAAAGCACCTGATTAATGGGATATATGAAGTGGATCTGGGAAGAAATAGGATACAGCAGCTGGAGAGTCTCTTCTAGCCCTCCATGCTCACAGGAGAAAAAACCTTGAAAAAACTTCAAAATGCAGTTTCCTCTGATATCAACTAGCAAGTAAAACTAGCTGAAGAGTAAAACTAGGGGAATGGTCAGGTAGACAAGAAATCCTCTGTATTTTCAACTAGTTTTTTCTATAGGTCATAGGATTACTGCTGCAGCTGAAATTTACATAGGTGAAATCTTTGAATGTTTGAGTCAACATGCATGAGAGCCTGGAATGACAAATGTTCACAAGTGTTCAACATCCACTAGTGCCAAGAGAAAAACATTCACTATTTCAGATATTTAAAGTGCGAATTTACCTTCCCCTATGATTTCTGTGTCCCATAGTTAAATGCTTAGTGTGTGTTTTTTAGTATGTTCACATTTCTGCTTCAGTTTCATGTGAGATAAATGTGCTCTCATTCTTTCCACCCATCTGTACATCTGACAACTGTACTGGGGATTTTACATGGAATACACAAATGCTGTGGTTTTGTTCTTGGGTGGCCAGAGCTACACAAAGACAGCAGTCACTGCTGAATGACTCAGACTTGAAATGGGAGGAAAAGGGCACATGATATCTCCTCATGACAATGCAAACTTAGAGCTTTATTTCCCCACTGTCAAGAGAAAATCTGTGTTTCAGTTAGGCAAACACAAAATTTAAAGTTTACCAAGGTGCCTGATGAATTTGATAAAGTGGGAATCAGTCAAAATACTGGGAAGAGCAAAAATCCTACTCCAAATCTAGACATATATTCCAGTTCAAGGAGGATTTAAACTGTAATGGCTTCTGTAGTGCTAAATACACCTTATCTCCTAAAGTCCAAGTCTTAAATCTCAAATCTTAAAGTAAAAATTCAAAGCAATGCCCCTTGGCATTTTTGAGCCCAGAACCTGTCAGATATTAATGATTTTCAGAGACTTTAAACATTCCTTGGCTTACTGGGAGCTATGCTTATCAAACCACTGACCTGATTTCATACTGTCTTCATAAAATTGCTTACCAGACAATTAAATGTTTCCTTTTATGTACTGAAATGTACAAACTATGGCCAGGTTTCTCCCATAAGTAAGGAAAACAAGGCTTCTTGTATGAGTGAGGTTTCTTGTGTCAGTCAGGAAAACCAGACAGGGTTTATGTGTTCAGGTTGGTGGACATATAAAAGTTAAGTTGGTATCCTGCTGGGTGAATAAACTGGTGTCCTGCTCACCAAAGGGCACCATTTGAGCTGTATAAGCTGCCACCATTAACACCAGCTAGTTTTAAATGGAGTTCACTGGACTTCATTGGGGTTCTAACACAGAGGAGAGATCATCAGTCACATTAAAACCATGTGCTAAAAGCAGTGAAAATATGTTTGAGTGACCAGCTTCCTGTAAGGATGCATTCAGTTACCACTGAATTTTGATGGCAACTCCACAGAAGCAGATGTGGCAACCACAGAGGTGCAAATCGCATTCCTGATGAGGCTGTACATACAGCTTTATTTTGTATACAATTATTTTGTATCTGTATACAGCTATATGTTTGTATTTTGGGGATCTAATCATCTCACATTAGGCATTTATGAAGACCATGGCTATAACACCACCTTTGCCAAAGAAAAAATAATCTGAATGTTTAACATCATGTATGAGACGTATAATAGAAGGCAGCACCATAGCAAAGACAGATGAGAGATTTTATTTTTGTCTCTAAGCTTCCAGGAGGAATTTCAACCTAAATTTGTTTCTACAGATGTAAGAAAGCTCCAGCTCCTCTTCTCATCACTCATTTTCAACCTGTTTCTTAGAAAGGCTTGAGCAAATTGTGTGTGGGACTCCTCTGTGGAAGCTTTATCTTCAGCTTTTCTGAGGACTGTGCAGGCACGAAAATGTGTCATGATAACGTGCAACTGATAGTGAGGAGAGGGAATCATCCTGTCTTATCACCCAAAGTGCTCAGCACCAGCTGGACAAACACACAGGTGTGTAATTCAAAGTGACTCTAGGAGTTGTAAAGAGCAAAAGGTCTTACAAATATCTGAGGCTTGGAAGGTGTTGGAAGGCATCTTTATCGATGTACACGAGGTTGTTGGCTTTCTCAATTCTTCTGCAAAGAGGAAATGAAACATCAGAGAAAAAATATATCAATAAATTGATCTTAAAATTGTGTTTGTCCCATGATGCAGTGGAACAATACGCTGAGGTTTCCTTTTTGGCAGCAGAAGATCTGGATGATTTCAGGAAGCAGCCTGCCATGGACAGGCAGACCCCACCACCTTTTGATCCTGGCAGTGATCTGAGGATAAATTTTTGCCTGAGCAGGTAAAGAAAGGGGCAGCTAGATAAGAGGATGGAAAAGACAAAGGGAGATTTCAATTTCTCCTATAATGCTACAAATTCTTTAGCGCTTACCTGAACCAAACTGCAAAACCTTTGATACTCGCCTATAATGAATCTTTATAATTGTCTCCTTTGCATTTAGATTGCTCATTACTTACATTTCATGTAGTTTGGGAAGGTTGGAAAACACATTTGCTTCTATGACCTCCAAGGCATCATTCTGTGAGATCTCTCTGAAAAAATAATTTAGAAGTCAAGATATTTCAAGTCATGGTGAAGCAGAAAATGGAGAAGTGAAAAATTCACAAGGAACTTCTTCTCAGATTACTGATGAGTTTTAAAAACAAGGTGGATATCAGATAAGAAAACAGAAATGCTGCTGAGTACAAGGAGCAAGCAACAATGACAGTCAGGAACAGAGATCTGAGGCTGGAGTTTGTATCCGCAGCATCAGCCCTGCATGTCCTGCTGCCACCATTCCCTGTGCATTTGAAGTCAGGGTCTATCCATCATGGGCTACTGGCCCTCTGACATTACTAATTACTGAGAGAAATTTAATGAAACCTTTTAACTCAGTGAAGAAAAGAGGGGGGGGTGAAGGTGACTGAAAACAAAGACAGCTAAAAAGTTCCCAAGAAATATTGCACAACTTCAGCAACAGGACGCTGCTGTCTTGACTCAATGGGAAGAACAGAGATTAAAATTAAGCCACCAGCAGATGTGCCCTTGCTAGCAGCAGCTGGAGAACACAGAAATGAAGAAGTCTTCCACACCTTGGAGCAAACCTCATTTGACATGGCCTGCACACAGTTAATGCCCACTTACAGCCAGAGAACTGCAGAATATAAATGGCCAGTTTTGCTGCTCTCACCACACCAGAATACATCTCCTGCTAGTCCAGAAAACACATCTTTCTTTGCTTCCTTCATCTTTGGGTCTGGGCTCTGGTGTAATTTAGAGCTCAGGATTTCCCCTGGTGAATCAAGTGGGCATTACTGCAGTGTCCCCTGGCATCACATCACTTATCCTGGCACTGACCAGGAAGGTCGAGGTAAAGACAGCCATGCCAAAAGATTCCTCACTGCCAGCTTTTTGGAAATGGTGCCAAAATGTTATTTTCTCAGGCTGAGGTCAGGTGTAGGAAGTAAAATTTGTAATACAGCTATAATTCAGTGATATTGTCATGGTCTGTTGCATTTTAATCATAAGGCAACTGCACACATTTTTGGAATGAAACCTTGGATAAATAGATTGGAAATGGATGACACTTGTTCCTGGATATCTTGTTCTTCTGAAATTATGATGGCTGCAAATAGATTCAAATAGGCCTGAGGTAAAACAAGAGATTGTAATGTCAGGTGCACAGCCAAAAAATAATCACAAAAATTAATCAGAGGAATATAAATGTGTTCCACTCTCTTCTAAGTAACAGCTGAACCATACCTGACAGATTACCTGCCCATTTAAGACAAACAGAAGCCTTGCAAAAGGAGACATGTTTTTCACCTGACCTTTTCAGTTTTAAAAAATGCCTTAGTGGTTTAATATTTTTTAGTTTAATAAGAAGTTTTCCCTTCTGTTTCCTCAAGTTTTTTGGTTTTTTTTAATGGAAGAAATCCAACTCTGCTCTGCTTCAGGAGCTCCAAACTGGCTGGAGAATAGGAAAATAAAAGTACACGAGGACTGACAATAGGTGCTTGGCAGGGTGCATTGAGGACTAGGTTTGTTTAGTAGGGCTGAACCACCAGCTCACATGTGTGTGTTCCTTCTTATTAATTAATTTTCAGCAGCAACAAAATGTTTCAAAATTACTTAATTTTCAGCAGCAACAAAATCCCTGAAAACAGGGATTCCTTCATGCCATGTGAGATATCCGGACATTGCAAAGGATACTTCAAAGAGTTTTTATCATCTTCCTGTTTGCTTTAAAAATAATTACAAGATATAAGTAGAAATATTCAGAAAAGTAGAATAGACTAGAATAGAATAGAATAGAATAGAACAGAAGCAAGCACTCCCCATGAGGTATTTATATGTCAATATAAAATTCACTTGCCTAACTACAGTCTCTAAGATTTAACAGGGTAGGAGGTGTCTCACATTTTTGAGGTTTGGTTTGGTTTTCCTCATGCTCTTTTTGGGCGGTCAGGTGCATATTTGCCATTCCTCACAATCTAAAAATCAGTTGTCTAGAAAAAAGAAAATCTTCAGAAAAAACATCAGGTTTAATACCAACAAATACATTTAGTCAGAAGATACTTCATGCCACTAAGAAGTTCAGGGAAAAAATGTTGCAGATGTGTTGGCCTCACCCAGGGAAAAAAGGGTTATTAAGAAACCATAATACAGTTGTGACCTCACCCAGCAGATAGTGCTGCTGAGGGTAATAATTTTTTATGATCCAATCTGCTATCTAACTTTGCAACAACTTGGATGACACAGCTTTTTTAATGGATTGCTTAAAAATGAATGTTTCTGCATCAGAAGAGTGTTTTGGCTTCCTGTGAGTGTGGTAGGTTATTGGCTTTGTTTTGATTCAAGAAATGGAAGATACAGACCTGATTAAGCTGGGGCACAAGCAGGCCATGGCACTCTGGAAGGCTTGGAGAATTCATGGTGGAGGAAAGGAATGAAGAGAGGGAGGAAGATAGGAATCTCCAAACTGTTTTTGCAAGATTAGGTTTTTAAAATAGTAAGTCTTTTAGAGATTGTGTTTTAAACAGAATTAAATAACACCTGTGTGAGGGGGCTTTCAGAGATGTGGGAAATGACTTGGCTTTTATTCTAACATGCCCATTCACAGGTACACAGGCAACAGGCTTGGTTTTTTTAAACAGGTAATGAATATAAATATGTCCATTTACAATGACATTTTTTTTTCTTCCAGCTGAAGCAAACATCTTTTTCAGCTGATGAGGTTATGAGCAACTCAAAGTAAAAGGAACAGAAGGGAAAACTGTCAGTGGCAGAAGGCAGCAACCCTCCTGGTGCTGGGCTGCATCCTCTGTGTTCGGGGGATTGCAGTGGTGAGGGAAATGACCCTCTGTCCCTTTAGGCAATGAACTGTATCCTCTGCTACACTCTCTCCAGGAAATCCTGGTGGTGATAACCTTATTCTTCATTGTTTTTTGCAGATGAATCCCAGTTTTGGGCTGCACATAAACCTGATAGGCCTGTTTTTGAGATAAGAAGGATAAATAAAATAAAACCATTCTGTTTAGGAGATCAGGCACACACTGTGAACAACAGGCAACAATAATCTGGGGTTTGGTTGCATAATTTGTGTGAGCTATTTATTCATACCTAGCAAAGTGTGCACACCTGCTCCTGGAAATCCCAAACACTGTCTTGGATACAGGTATCCATGACATTAAAAGTGCAAACCACTGCTGCTCACATCAAACAACCAACTCAGCAGACTCAGATCCTCTGCAGAGGAGAGCAAATAACACCTGAGGGAGCAGCTACAAAGAGAAAAAAAGGGATTGCTGGCTAGTGTTTGTGCAAGTGTTTTGTCTTGCAGTATAAATACACACAAACAGATGATTGTTCATAATGCAAATCTGATTATATGTCATCAAGAGAGAAGATAGGGCTGTTATTATGTATTATGTTGTTTGTTTGGAATGAATGACACTATTAGTGCTACTGGTAGCTATGGCAGGAAACCCAGCCAGCAATCCCAGCATCACTTCTCAAACAGACAAGCCTTGGAATAGATGGTGTGCAAAAAAACCAGGGGCAATTTCTTCAAAAAAACCCCAAATATCCAAACCACCCAGTGGCTGCAAAGTGCTTAGGCATCTGCCTGAGATAAGTTTTCGCTGCACGCAGAGTTGAAATCACCAGTGATCCTTGAAAGCATAAATTGTTCACTCAAACACAGCCTAAAAGATGACATAGCATTCAATAAATGCATTTTCCAAAGGCACAAAGGACAACAGTATTTATTTTTTTGCAAAGAGAATGTAAGACTCTAAGATGTGCCATCACATGATTAAGGGATCTCCTCTAATTTGCCCCCAAGGCAGCAAACTGGAATCACTATTACCCATTTCCAGCAACTGGGAGCAGTGTATAATTTCCATGTGTGACAGCCAGAGCCTGTGTTAGAGGAGAGAGAGTTGGAAAATCACTTAATCTGCCTGTAGAGCTGCCCTTAGGCAAGGCTGGGGGTACAACTTTGTGACATCTGTGGCAGAGCCCAGTGTGATCCAGAGCAAGGATTCCTCTTCAAACCAGCTGCACCCAGAGTGCAACCTGTAAAAATCAAGACACATCAAAATGGCCTTTTAAACAATTCTGTTAGCAAAGGACTTAGGGTTCATGACAGTTTCTCTGTAGTCCACTGATGGAAAAGTCTCTTAGGCTAACCAAAGTCTTACAGAAAAAACAAGACTGTATTAAACTCACAAACTTGGGGCCAAGTGGCCTAATGTTCCAAAATAACAAAAGAATAATAGACTGGAAGTTTATGTCTTTTATCATAGGAATTCCTTTCAGGATTAGAGTGGAGCATGCATGGATAGGATACAAGGTAATTTCTTCTCCTGCTTGGAAATAGGACTGTTTTAAAAAATTGTGTGCTTATATATGCATGTATATATACAGATAACAGAGATCAGTGAGTGGTAAGTCGTGTCAAAAGAAGAGCAGAGCACACAAGAGGCAGAAGAGCAGCTTGGACCAGCATTAGCCCCTCACACAATGACCAGGGATGTGTGATTTAGAGCATGAAGACCTTGTAGTTCCTGCAGCAGGAATGACAGAGAGAGGCTGCTGCCCACCTGGTGAGTTTGGCTGCCTGATGGCCACTGTGAATGTGGGATTTGTGGATTTCTGCATTTCTTCTCCCCGTGGTGGAATAGCATATGGGACTGCCCTGTCTGTCAAGGCTTCTGTGGTCCTTGCTTGGTGTGTGCACCTTGCACACAGATGTAGCACATGGTGTGAAGAAAGGATTTCTCCCCTCTCCAGGAACACAGTCCTGCTCTGTGGTCTTCTGTGGTGGTGACTCCATCCCTGCAAACTCCTACAGCCTTCCTTCAATTCCCTTCCAGAGCAGGTGTGTACACAGGCTATACACTTGATCTGCTCACCTTGTATTTCCTGTAATACATTATAATTGGGTGTTTATTGGCTTTTATCCTTCACCTTTGATGCAGTTTTTCTGCGGCATAGCTGTCCTGTGGATTCCTGGGAATGCTTTTCTTTCACTCTGAAATCAGCAGTG